TTTTTATTTGAAGACTGTTGATTCTTCGCCGGAGCAGGACAAATCAGCTGCTACGTCGCTGGCAATTTCGAGGGAATTGGAAAAGGCAAATCCGGTGGTTCCAGTGGAGGGGATCCGATCACCTACGGTGCCGATGGAGTCGCAGCCCAAATCACCACTTCCGCTTCCTGTGTTTGAATTGAAAGAAGGTTCTAAGTCCTCATGGAAGTTCTGCAAAGAAACCCCTAGGCTGTCACTGGACAGCAGAGCCACTACTGACGCCAAGGGAAGCCTGCATCCGAGAGAGATCCGCACAAATGCATCCATTCTATCACCGGCAAATGCAGATAATGGTGCCGCCGATGGCCAACAGCACCGGTCTCCTAGTGTCATTGCCAGACTCATGGGTCTGGAGCCCCTGTCAAATTCGTCAAATCCAGAGCCAGAAAACAAGGCGGAGCTACGAAGATCTAATTCGGAATCGAGAGTTTCTAGAGATCTCTTTCACTCTCGATTCCAAACCGATGGCAAAAATTTTCACTTAAAACGGCCAAATCAATGCCATTCCAATGTGCAAGAAAATCCGGTGTTTGAGACTCCGTGTCATGCAGATCCAATCAAGTACTCAACGAAGAGTGTCAACAAAACTGAACCACCTAAAGAATTAACCAGAGTGGCGAGTTTATCTCCATGGAAAACTCTGACAAACCGCAAAGGCTTCTTCGACTCGACGGACATTTTTCCGGAGCCAAAGCAGACGATTTCAATTGAAGGAGAGATTGAGAAGAGATTGAAGATGAGAGGAATCGATGAGCCTTCTAAAGATTTGGAAACGTTGAAACAAATCCTTGAGGCCCTGCAACTCAAAGGGCTCCTGCATTCTAAGAAGTCCACCGAGCAAAATCAATTCAGTTACCGGAACCTCGTCTACGATGAGTCTCCAGTAACGAAGTCTTCGAGATCAACACCTGTGTATCGAACCAACCGAAGGCTGGAGAATGATACTCCGCCATCGAGTCACAGAAATCAAGCGAGGCGAAATCTCGACCTTGCCGGCGACAGATTTCCGTCGGTGAGTCCCCGGCGAGAGCACAATGTAAGAAGTCCAACTAGAGCCACTAGAAATCCAAGCTCGCCGACGAGGAGTGAGAGTAATGGAGCTTTGAGGCTTTCAAATTCACCGGTCAAACCTCGGCCATTGAGCGTTGAAACTCATCGGAGAGTGAACGAATCACCAGAAAACGGAAGAGTCTCTCCCATTCAGTCACCTAAGCTCACTGCACGGAGAACCGGAACGGATCCAACGGTCAAGAACCGATCACCGAGGAACAAGAAACCATTGGCCGAGAGTCATCAAAAGGAGAAGATCACAACCGTTGTTGTTACTGAAGATGAATCGTCATCCATTTCTGATAGCATTGTCAGTGCATCTTCTCATACAGATACAGAGGTAAATTCCATTTCAAGATTAATATTAATTAATGTTTATCTTCTCATCAAAAAGTTTAAATGGATTAGTATCTATTACTTAAAATTTTGATTAAAGGCTTTAAACATGCACAATGTTTCTTACATGAACTCCAAGGGTTCCAACTCAATGAACTCATATCCAAATACAATTATTTTTGGTAGATTATAAATTAATGTTTGTATAAATGGAGAATCGCAGAGGTCAAAAATGGAGGACTACAAAGAAGGGAGGAGTTTGTTGGAGAGGTGTGATAAGCTGCTTAACAGTATAGCAGAAATTACAACAACTGATCTACAACCAAGTCCAGTCTCCGTTCTTGACTCGTCATTCTACAAGGACGAGTCTTCCCCTTCATCAATCACAATGAAAAGAAGCATCAACTTCAAAGGTGCATATTCTGTCTACTTGTATTCTTTGCATTGAATTGAACATGATAACCTATATAGTATTAGCATTGTCACGGCATGAAGTATGCTTTTGAGGCATGTTCACCATGCTAGATTGAACATGACAATTGAAATATATATCCTCTTTAGTTTAACATGTTGAACCTACGGTTGTGAATTGAAATTTGCGTTTGATTAGCATGTTTGGCTTGGCTACTTAAAAGGTTTAGTTATAAGTAAACATGTAAGTAGATCCAAAATGAGAATAACTTACTAGGCAGTAAGGTAAAATTTACATTCAAAATAAGCTCCTCCTTTTTCAGTTAACACAGATAAAAAGGATAAATTCTGTTCAATAAGTTGTCTACTTCTATACGATGCACGAAACATATGGGAAGAGAATAACCACATTTAGGATGTCTACTTCAATCACTTTATTTAGTCAAGGTATGTTTTAATGAGATCCGTAGTTGGTTTCAAAATTATTAAAATCTAAGTTTGGTTAGTTCCGTGTCCCTAATGCACTTCAAACGAGCTTGTTTCATAAAGGGCTTTACTTTTTTGGAATGAATTGAAACCTTTCTAGTGAAGATGGCGTTCTTTTGGCATGGAACAAAATCTGATGTCAATAATTGTCCAGTTGTTTCTTAATGGAAGTTGGTGAACTCAATTGCCTTCTGTTGTGGTCCTTGAAGAATAATAGGATTTGGGAGAAGTGGTTTGGTTTGGATTTTGTAGAAACATTTCCCCAATTCAGGAAGCGATTGGATTTTTAATGTGAGAGAAGTCTAATCACTAGTCGACGGGGAGATTTGTAACTGAAACAAAAGCCGCAAGTCCAGAATCCCATCTAATTTTGGTCTGTTCTGAATCCTTGGGATAATTCCAGGTTTCCAGCTTCGATTCATGACGGGGTAGAACCTGTGGGCCAAAAACATTTTGTTCTGAAATTTGTTTCGTATTTGGTAATGTTATCTTTTCAATTTAAAATCTATGCATTACTCTAATATGATAAAATCTGGTGTTGAATCGAGTATCAGATCAACGGGGTGAATCGGAAGAAGATATTTGGAGCCCCAGTATTTCACCAATTCAGTCGAAATGCGAAGATAGATCAGAAGACGGTGATTTTGTCTACATATCAGACATCCTCAAAGCATCCCATTATCTCTCTGAGGAGTCTGATATTTTTCTGTTACTAGAGAAGCAACAATATCTTAAAGGAAAGGACACATCCAAAGTCTCGAGACTCCAAAGGAAGCTTGTCTTTGACACGATCACTGAAATTCTTGGTCGTAACCGACAATTGCCTCAATGGAAGGCCATTTCTTGGCCAAATTGCTGTATTGAAAAGCCATCCCTCGAAAAGATTTGGTTAGAATTCCGGACAATCCAGGAGCGTGAAAGTAGTGATGACTTATTAGATATCATATGTGGTGTTCTAAAGAAAGACCTAGCTAGGGATGCCATTAATGGTTGGGAAGATTGTCCGGTCGAGATGTCCGAGGTTGTTTTGGACATAGAACGACTCGTTTTCAAGGATTTGATTGGTGAAACAATTCAAGATCTAGCATCATTAACCTATAAAAGCACTTTATCATTTATGTCTAGGAGGAAGTTGGTTTTCTAAGAAATGCCATTAATGGTCACGAAGATTGTCTAGCCGAACATCAAACGACCCATATTCAAGGATTTGATCCACGAAATGATCCAAGATCTCGCAGCATTTGCAAGGCTTGCTTTTTCTCACATATTAGTACTGCTGTTTGCCAGCTTCGAAGAAAACAGTGAGAGAAATTTGAGAACCTTTTTTTTTTTTTTTTTTTTTCCCTGTTAGTGCATATGTGGAGGAAATCCTGGTTTGTCATGTGATTATAAATAATATAAGCAATATTATTAGTTATTACATCTGGGAAAAGGAAAAGGTGATGGAGAAA